CGGGAAGTTCCCGGAGCGCAGCGAGGGGTGGCCCGGGGCGTCCAGGAGGTCCTTGGCCAGCTGGAGCCCCCCGAAGTCCTTGGCCCCGGTGGTGTGGCAGACCTTGTTCAGGGCCTCCCAGCTCTCCGGGGCTGCGCAGGCGGCGGCCACGTCGTCCGCCTGCTGCCAGGCCTTCGCAGCCTGGCGCAGGAATAGACTGCGTAGACCGCAAGCCCGGTCGCCGCCTGCGTTCGCGCGCCCGCGCCGTCAGCTCGAAGGGCCTTAGTCGTCGGGAGCTCGCCCGGCGACGTCGCGCCGACCGGCCGGCGCGGGCAGCTCGAGCGCAGACAGCGACTCGCTGACAGTCTCGGCAATCTATTGTTCAGCGGCCGTCCTTCGCGTGCCAGTAGGCGCGGAGCCACTGCCTGTGGCGCTCCTGGCCGCTCGCCCTGTTCGACCAGCCACAGATGGCGGGGCTGCGTTCTCGCCCCCGCAAGAAGACCCGTCGCGTCGACGGTCTCTGTCGCGTCGAGGCCGACGGCCTCTCTCGGGGGCGAGGGCCACGGCCTCCCCATTTGTGATCAGTCGGCCTGTCTGCCGCCCGCCAGTGCGCCCGCTCTTTGCGCCACTCGGTGGCGCAGCCGTTCCGCCCGTAGGCGTCGGCGCAGGCGTGGTACCCCGAGTCCCACACCTTGTAGGCCGCCGCATCGGCTGCTTCCTGGTAGTGGCTCAGCGAGGTGTAGACCGTCGCCTTGAGCTGGTCCACAAACCTTGACGGATATCGATGCGCCGTGAAAACGCCGCGAGCGGCACCTCGCGCACTTGGCAAACAACAGCGTTCAGCTCGTTGGCTGCCACGGTGCCCCTGCGAGGAATCGCTCGAGCGCCTTCTCAGTTTTTCGATTTCCATTCGGCCTCTCTGTCCCAAAAGCGCGCCAGGCGCGCGCGTTGAGCCAGAGCTGCCTCGCGTCGCCGGGCGCCTTCTTCTCGAGCGCGCGCTGGCCCCTGCGGACAGCGGCGGTCGTGGCGCCCTCTGCGGGTTCGACGACGGCGACGCGATGATTCGCCGGCGGAGCACATCCGCGCGCGGCGCCTCGACGGCACGAGTCGTCGCGGCCACGCACTCGGCGAGGCGCTCGGCTCGGGCATCTCGGCGCGCGCTCAAGGATGAGCACCGACGGAACGTTCGCATCGAACCTTAGTCGACTCCCGGTCGCGGTCGGGGCTGCAGAAGCAGTAGGCGGCCAAGACCTTGCGCGGAATGCACCTATCTGCTGCCACCATGGCACCAGGCCGCGGCCGCCGCGGACCCCGGCGCGCCGCGCGCGCACTCCTGGCTCGGTTCGGGAGAGCGCGCGAACGTTCCAGAGGCCCGCGCTGGCCTTGGCCAGGCATTGGGGTCAACGCATAGACGCCCCCCACGGGGGCCTTGTCGGCGCCGGGTTTTTTCGCGACGCGGGCGGCCGCCAAGTCGTTGGCGTCGGCGACGGTGACGCCATCGGCCACGGACCGGATGACGAATCCGGGTCCGTCTCCTCTGGCGGCCAGCCGCGGCGCTTCCCGGGCGGCCTTGGCCTCCTTGCCGGACACGAACCGACAGCTGGCGCACATCGCCGCGGTTTGCTCGCGCGGCCTGTCTGCTCCTCTCGGAAGGCTACAGATTGCGCGGCCGCGCGGGCAACCGCGCGCAATTCGAACCAGGTCGGTTGTATCCCCTCTCTCCTCCAGGCGCCTCTGGTGGGCTTGTGTGGCGGGCCGCTGCTGGAGCGGGTTCCTGGCGCAGGCTGCCACCTGGGAGCTTGCGCATAAAAATGAAAACACTGAGCGCCTGAAGCGCTCACTGTCTTCGTTTTTATGCACAAACCCCAAGGGCCTGCTGGTGCGCCGTGCTCGCGTTGAGCGCTTTCAGGCGCGGCCGGCGCAAGCCAAGCCGCCCGTGGAGCTCGGGGGCACACACTTTGCAGCGGTGCCCCCCATTTGTGCGCCTGCGCCCCCAGCTGGGCACGCGCCCGCGAGGCGCAGCACCCATAGCACCACGTGGAAGGCCGCCCCATCCCTGGGCGACCCCACGCGCGCTTGAAGCCAAAGGCTTTGCAACGCATGCTCAACCAATCAACCAACCAGCCAACCCTCAACACAGCAGGCGCGACAAAGTGCGCATAGGGATCTTCCTCCTCCTCCTCCTCCTCCTCCTCCTCCTCTCCCTCCTCCTCCTCCTCCTCCTCCTCCTCCCTCTCCTCCTCCTCCTCCTCTGCTATGTCCTTCCTCCTCCTCCTCCCCCCCCCTCCTTGTCCTCCAACTCCTTCCCCCTCCTCCTCCGCATCCTGCCATCCCCAAGTTGAGGATGAGAATCGAATCCAAAACATGTAAGAGCATGCGTCCAGATGCTCGCCACGAGGTGTGAAGGCGCCCCGTGATATTTCAGACAGCTCTCGTACCGCCGGCGATGCGATGCGATGCATTACTTCTCATGTCTATTTCCCTCCTCCCTCTTCGTCCCCATCCTCCTCCTCTTCTTCCTCCACCGCCTCATCATCGTCAGCAGCAGCAGCAGCATCAGCCGCATCACCATCATCATCACCATCATTCGCAATATAAGCAACATCAGACTCATCCTCATCATCGTCATCCGCGTCATCCGCATCATCATTGTGATCGTCCGCCTCTGCATCGTCCTCATGTTCTTCATCATCGGCGTGGTCGTGGCAATCGTCATCATCATAAGCATTACCATGTTCATCATCATCATCATCATCATCATCATCATCATCATCATCATCATCATCATCATCATCATCCCTGTTCTCATCCTCTCCTTCTTCCTCACTTCCCCTCCTCTCCCTCATCTCCCTCATCCTCTCCTCTCCCCTCTTGCCTCCTTCTCCTCCTCTCCCTCTTCCTCCCTCCTCCTACTCCCTCATACCTCCTCCCGTCCTCCTCCCTCCTACTTCCGCCTTCCTCCTCCCGTCCTCCTCCTTCCGCTTCCCCTCCTCCCTCCTTTCTCTCCTCCGCCCCATGCCGACGACGACGACGATGACGACCACGACGACGACGACGACGACGACGACGACGACGACGACGACGACGGACGACGACGACGACGGACGACGACGACGACGACGACGACCGCCCAGAGAGCCGCGCCCCGCTTCGCGATGAGCGGCCGCGGTATGCAGAGTGGGTGTGGCTGGGAGGTCTGTGTTTAAAATCTAACGACCCCAGCCTGTCGGGTGGGAACAAGCATTTTATGTTCTGGCATGCTCTGTTGTGTCATGCTCTGTTCTGTCGTGCTCTATTCGGTCGTGCTCTGTTCTGTCATGCTCTGCTTTTTTATGTGTATGTCCTGCTCTGTTCTGTCGTGATCTGTTCTGTTCATGTCTGTCATGTTCGTCCACGGCGCGGGGGGGCGGGATAACCAGGGATACTCGGGACAATATGAGGTCTGGCGGCCGCGGTATGCAGGGTGGGGGTGGCCGGGAGGTCTGTCCTGAAAATCTAACGACCCCAGCCTGTCGGGTGGGGAACCAGAAACCAACACAACCAAAAACAATAAGAAAACCATACAATCAAAAACAATAAGAAAATATTACAATTAACAGCTATAAGAAAACCGTACAAAAGAAAACAATAAGAAAACATTACAATGGAAAGCAAGAAGAAAACCTTACAATGGAAAACAATAAGAAACCCTCACAATCAAAAACAATAAGAAATCAACATAATCCAAAAGCAATAAGAAATCAACACAATCAAAAGCAATAAGAGAACCATACAATCAAAAACGATAAGAAAACCTTACAAAGGAAAACAATAACAAAAAAGACAATGAAAAACAATAAGAAAACGTCTTGGAATCACGATCCCTGTGAGGGTTCCAAAAAAATCCAAAAAAAAATCCAAACCATAATCCAATAAAACCTGTGAGGGTTCCAAAAAATCCAAAAATCAATGGTTTTCGGGTCTCCAGGCTGCCTGGGACGGGCTGGGAGGGGGCCGGAGGGAGTTCGAAGACCCGAAAACCATTGATTTTTGGATTTTTGGGAACCCGCACAGGTTTTATCAGATGTTTTTGGTTTTTTTTGATTTTTTGGAACCCTCACAGGGATCGAGGTCCCAAGACGTTTTCTGATTGTTTTTAATTGTCTTTTTTGTCATTGTTTTCCATTGTAAGGTTTTCATACTGTTTTTGATTGTATGGTTCTCTTATTGCTTTTGATTGTGTTGATTTCTTATTGTTTTTGATTGTGAAGGTTTCTTATTGTTTTTGATTGTGTGCTTTCCTTATTGTTTTTGATTGTGTTTGTTTCTTATTGTTTTTGATTGCGTTGATTTCTTATTGTTTTTGATTGTGAGCTTTCCTTATTGTTTTTGAGTGTGTTGGCTTCTTATTGTTTTGATTGCGACGTGTTCGATTGCAAACGTTATTGCAACAACACAGGGTCAACATCTACATCAACATATGAACGAACTTCTTCGTTTAAAAATCCCTGCGGCATCGGTCAAAGCAAAAGTGGATGATTTGCGGGGGTCCCCTAACGCACAGTTGGGTACTACTACTACTACTACTACTACTACTACTACGACTACTACTACTACTACTACTACGACTACTACTACTACTACTACTACTACGACTACTACTACTACTACTACTACTACTACTACTACTACTACTACTACTACTACTATCACTACGACTACGACTACGACGACTACTACTACTCGTAGTAGTAGTACTACTACTAACTACTACTACTACTACTACGACTACTACTACTACTACTACTACTACGACTACTACTACTACTACTACTACTACTACTACTACTACTACTACTACTACTACTACCTACTACTACTACTACTACTACTACTACTACCACTACTACTACTACTACTACTACGACGACGACTACTACTACTACTACTACTACTACTACTACCACTACTACTACTACTACTACTACTACTACTACTACTACTACTACTACTCGGCCCCCCTCGGGGGAAGAGAAAGCCCACCGATCTCGCTCTCGAAGGCGCGCAACGGGGATCCGGTGTACAGGGCCCAGTCGCCCCACGCGGAGCCGGTCAGGCCGTCCTGGAAGAACATGCCGATGATCGCCTGGGAGTGCGCCAACCATACACCTACGCCGATCCTGGCTTGGCCGACCCTGGGGGCTAGGATTGCCCTGGCCAAGATCGACGTTGGTGTATGACTTCATTGGGGGGCCCCGATCGCCATCATCGCCAAGCGGCCGTTGGCGATTTCAGCCGCCAACTTCTTCTGCTTCTCTGCAGGGTCGCTGGACGTCAGCACTTTGAAGCCGAAGTCACCCGCTGCGGCGGCGGTGCCAGCGGACTGGTCCTGGGACAGCTCGCAGAACGCGCCGTACGCCACGATCTGCGCCCAGCCCGCTGCGGGAACCTTGGAGATGGCGCCGAGGCCGTTCGGAACGTCCGCGAATTTCAGGCCCGCGGACGGCGACAAGTACCCCGGCAGCTTGCCGGTGATCTCTGGAGTGATGTACCCCATCGTCGCCAGCATGGACACGCGACCGTGCTTCAGCTCCGTCTGCCGCCTCCAAGGGGCGCAGGAAAACACATTCATGCATAATGGGCTCCGGGGAGGCACGGCGGAGTCGGGGAGTTAACGGACCATTTGAGACCTCGCAGCTCCCTGGAGGATTGCGAACCTCGCAACTGTCGCCACTTTCGTGGGCTCCTGACCATTTGAGACCTCGCAGTTCACTGGGGGGGTGCAAACTGCGCAACTGGGAGTCGGGGAGTAAACGGAGCCATTTGAAACCCCGCTGCTCCCTGGGTGGCTGCGGACTGCGCAACTGTCGCCACTTTCGTGGGCTCCTGGGATCAATGGACCGATTTGAGACCTCACAGCTCCCTAGGGGGCTGCGAGCTGCGCAACTGTCGCCACTTCGTGGGCTCCTGGGAGACACGGCGGCGAGAAGTTACACGCAGACCCATTGGGGACCTCGCCGCACCCTGGGTGGCTGCGAACTGCGCACTGGTCGCCTCTTTCGTGGGCTCCTGGGAGGACCAGTGGAGTGGAGTTACACGCAAACAAATTGGGGACCTCGCTGCTCCCTGGGTGGCTACGGACTGCGCAACCGTCGCAACTGTCGTGGGCTCATGGGAGGTCCAGCGGAGTGGAGTTACGCACGAACCCGTTGGGGACCTCGCTGCTCCATGGGTGGGTGAGAATTGCGCAACTGTCGCAACCTTCGCGGGCCCATGGGAGATCAGGCGGAGTCGAGGGGCACGCAGGCCCATTGAGGACCTCGCTGCTCCCTGGGTGGCTGCGGACTGCGCAACTGTCGCCCTTTTCGTGGGCTCCTGCGAGGTCCAGCTGAGTGGAGTTACACACAGACCAAAATGGGGACCTGGCTGCTCCCTGGGTCGCTACGGACTGCACAGCCGTCGCCATGTTCGTAGACTCCTGGGAGGTCCAGCGGAGTGGAACTGCACGCGGACCCGTGGGAGACCTCGCTGCTCACTGGGTGGTTGAGAATTGCGCGACTGTCTCGACCCTCGTGGGCCCACAGGAGGCTCGGCGGGGTCGGGGGGCACGCAGACCCATTGGGGACCTCGCTGCTCCCTGGGTGGCTGCGGACTGCGCAACTGTCGCCACTTTCGTGGGCTCCTGGGAGGTCCAGCGGAGTGGAGCCACTCGCAGACCCATAGGGGACCTCGCAGCTCAATGGGTGGCTGCGCACTGCGCCACTGTCGTCACTGTTGAGGGCCCTTGAGAGGGCCGCATGAGAAACCCCAAGAAAGGACCTCCTTTCCTGCGGAGAAGCCTCGGGAGCTTCCTTCCTGGTGTGAGTCCCCTCGCGCTTCTCAGTCCGAATCCCCCTCTCCCTCCAACGCCTCCCCATCATCATCCCTCCTCCTCCTCCTCCTCCTCCTCCTCCTCCTCCTCCTCCTCCTCCTCCTCCTCCTCCTCCTGCTTCTCCTCCTCCTCATCCTCCTCCTCCTCCCCCTCTGCCTCCTCCTGTCATTCTTGGTAGTAGTATGATGTTTACTGGTCGTCTTCATAAAGCCTATCACTAATCGTTGTTGGTATTACTATTCGTCTTATTCGGGGTAGTAGAATATGCATTAGTAATACGTTTCGATGTATGTTGATTGCAAGCAATGTGAACCTTAGTAATAGCAGTATTATGATTAGCATGATTAGTAATATTACTAGTAATGGCGTTATTGATAGTAGTGTACAGCTTGTCATGTTTCGTCTTCTGCGTGGTATAATTCGTGTTCGTATGACTGCTAACACTACTAGTGTTAGTAATGTCGTTGCTCGTTTTCTTGTTTTTTCATAGAATGTGAATTATTAACCGTCATACTAGTATTCGGCATACTGGTGCTCTTACTACTGCTACGATTTATTGTTGGTAGCAATACGATTGGTCGTCTTATTAGTTGCAGCACTCATTTTGATATTCGTACCAGTCTCAGTTTAATGATTGTTAAGATTACTTTGTTTATGACTGTGATCATTGTTAGTACTAGTCGTCTAAACTGTCGCCGTAGTAGTTGGTTCATTCTTATCGATAACAGTAGTCTTACCCGATGATTAGCTTAATCACTTTATTGGTATTATGAGTATGAGTGTTCTTTTAATTACGAGTCACAACAGTATGATTACTCTTCTGATTGTGGCTAGTATTATTCTTCCTCCTCCTCCTCCTCCACCTCCTCCTCCTCACCCTCCTCCCCCTCCCCCTCCCCCTCCTCTTCCTCCTCATGTTCATCATCATCCTCCTCATCCTCATCCTGATCCTCATCCATCATCATCATCATCATCATCATCATCATCATCATCATCATCATCATCATCATCATCATCATCATCATCATCATCATCATCATCATCATCATCATCATCATCCGCCTCCTCCTCCTCCTCCTCCTCCTCCTCCCCCCTCCAACGCCTCCCCATCATCCTCCATCCTCCTCTTCCTCGTCCTTCTTCGGGCCGCTTGGGTGGTCTGGGGCCTCGCGTGGGCTGCCTGGGGGCGCCGCTGGAGGCGTATCGGGCCCGTCTGCGGGCGATCCAGGGCATCTCGTGGGCAGCAAGCGGCAGCGAGGAGGGAGGCAGGTGGTGTGGTGTTGCTGCTAAGAACGGGGCCCGCCCGGGCAATATTTGTCACTGGCAGCCCCGCCCAGTAGCGAGAAGTGCAACTTCCATCGCTTTTTCGTCGGCTCGAGCCTGCAGCCGAGCAGGCCCTAAAGCAGAGCCCCACCAAGCAACCGGTGGGAGGCCGACCGAAGGTGGAAACAATCTCGCTGATCCCGTCCTGCTCCAATATCGGAAACATACGAATAGGGGGCCACATGCGAACCCTACCCCTACCCCCCACGATTTCTGGGGGGGACGGTGGGGTTCACTTCGTTCGGGAGCTCCCGAGCAAAATGAACCCCACCCTTCCCCTCAGAAATCGTGGGGGGAGGGGTAGGGCTCGCATGTGGCCCCCTAGCGAAGGTGAGCAGACATTTCCCTTGCCGTGCTCGGAGAACGCCCGAGGGACGTCTGCGGGCGTCCTGTGGGAGCCTCATGGCGGATCTCTGCCCCTCCCGCGGCTGGGCGGCGACGTCCGAGCCCTACGCCCACCAAAACCGTCGCTTCTCCTGCATCGACGGGCGACGGGAGGAGGACTCGAATTTCGCCACGTGCTCGACGCATTCCGAACCCTCCCCCCGCCGCCCGCCCCATCGAGTTGCCTGAGTCGCTGATCGGCGAGGGTAGGCTGCGGATTCCGCCGCCGAGTCGCCGCACCCAGGTTGCAAGCGAGAGGCCTGCTGGGTGCCTGCGGGGATCTCTCTGCAGGCCTCTCGGCGGGCCTCTCGGAGGCGGCGTGAGGCGTGCCTCTCAAAAGCGGATGGGTCTCTTCGGAGCGCTCTCGGGGGCATCTTGGGGGCAGTTTGGGTGCCTCTCGGGAGCCTCTTGGGGGCCTCTCGGGGGGGGCCCCTTGGGGGTCTCCGGGAGCCGCTTGTGGGGGGCCGCGGGCTGTCAGGGGGCGGAGGGCTCCAGGTATCGGTTCTTCTTCCCCCGCTTGGGCCCCGCTTGGAGCCTGTTCGGTCGACTTGGGGCGGCGAGCTTCGGGGCCTCGTGGGCCGTCTCGAAGCGTCGGGAGCACGAAAAGGCGAGAACGCTAAAATCATGGAAAGGCAACTATAAACTTATATTTGTGGAGTCCAGGGGCGCTCGGAGGGCTGTCCAAGCGCGGTCCCAGGGCGTCCTGATGGGGCCCTCTGGCCACACTGCGGGACGAGCGGCCGACTCCGGGAGCCCCCTGGGAGTCTGGGGGCGTCTTGGGCTCTTCTTGGGGAGGTTTCGGGCCGCCCAGGAACGATGTGTCTCTTCGGGGCCCGTTGGGCCATCTTGGGGCGAGCTTGGAGACCTCGTGGGCCGCCTTGAATCACCGGGAGCTCCAAAAGGCGAGCACGCTTTCATCACCGAAAAACCATCAGAAAAGTGGATGTTCCGAGATCTGGAGACAGAGGGCCGTCCGAGGACGGTCTCAGGGCGGACTGTTGTGGCCTCGGGCGGCACTGTGGGACCCGCAGCCGGCTGTGGGAGCCCCGTGGGGGCGTCTGGGCGCCTCTTGGGGCCTTCTTGAACCGATTTCGGGCTGCCCGGGAACGATGTGGGGCGTCTTGGGCGCCTCTTGGGCCGTGCTGGGGCTCTTTAGGGCCGTCTTGGGACTCTCTTGGGGACACGGGACACGCTGAGGGCAGGGCCTGCCCTAGAGAGCACGCAGGGCAGGAGCAAGCATGGCACGGCAAGCGCGGCACGGCAACGGCACGGCACTATGCTGTGGATTATGATTTTCCCAGCTGGGGGGGGGGGGGGCTTCAAGGAGGAGCACACGACCGTTTCAGCGGCAGTTGTTTACCGAACAGACGGCCCGACGAGCTTCACAAACATGCACCGAGCACTCTCAAACTCCCGGAGGACCGCATCTGATGCGACCCGCTGCCCTACGTCCCTGGGCGCGCTGGTAGGCCTGCGCGGAGCGCAAATCAATAGACGGGTAAACAGGGGGAGGGGGAAAGGGAAATCACAGGAGTAGACACGAAGGTCCAAAGAAGAAACTGACTTCCGACGCACGGCTCGGGATCAGATGTAAACCAGCTGGGCACTTCTGCACCGCGAGCCTGCGAGCAAAGTTCTCCGTGCTCCCGTCGGCGGTGAAGCCCGCTGGGTCCCAGAAGCCAACTGGGTCTTGCACGCCGAGCTCGCTCTCGAAAGCGCGCAGCGGAGAATCTGTGTAATTAGCCCAGTCGCCCCAAGCAGATCCAGTCAGACCGTCCTTAAGGGAGAAAACGCCCGTCCCAGAAATACCTCCTCACAGACACTTCCCCGCGCACACGCGCACACACACACACACACACACACACACACACACACACGGGCACCTCCTCTTATTGCGCATCCGTTTTTCTCCTTGTTTTCCTCTCCCCCTCCTCCTCGCCTCCCCTTCCTCTTCGCCTCCCCCTCGTTTTATGCCGCACGCGCAGGGCTGTGACGTGTTGTCCGTTCCCAGGCATGAGCATGAGATCGGCCATCCTACACCATATACGACATAGCTCAACCAACACTGCTGGAATATACCACCTTCGTCCCTATACATATAGATACACTACATATGCCGAAAATGTACAGGGATGCGTACATCCGCATACGAACACACGCATGTAGATTTCTAGATGACTTTATATATATATACACACACGCATATCGGAGTCATCTAGATATGCTTTTTATGATATGAATAATAAAGACAGTGTATAATAATAATAATAATAATAATTACTCCGACGGAAGAACCCCACATAAGAATCCTCTGGGCGAATCTGGAAAAAAAGCCATCACCGTCGTCCTCGTGGTTGGTGGGGCGTCCTGGCTGTCTCTTCTGCGTATATTTCCTCTCGCCTTGGCGCGGGCCCCCCTTCCACTCCTTACGTTGTCCCCATCCTCGCCCCCCTGTTTGTTCCGCGCCCCGCCACCTCCTCCCCTTCCTGTTGCATGAGCGCGCATGTCGATGTTCCTCGGCGCCGTCGCCGCCACGGCCAGCACAGGCGCGTTCTCTACTGGTCACGTCGCGCAGCCGTTGGGACAACCCCGCGGGCCAGGCTGTCGGGACAACCCCGCGAGCCGCTGGCGCGCAAGACCAAGCCGTTGGGACAACCCCGCGGGCTTCGAGCGAGGCGCAGCCGCGCTCAGGCGGAAGGCAGCACGAAGCCCAGCTCTGCCGCGAGCTGCTTCGCCTCCGCCCTGGACAAAACCGCTCTCTTGTCGAACTCCAGGAGCGCCTTCCGCAGGGGCGCCGGCGGCCCGCACTCCAGGAACTCTCGCGGCGGCGGCCGCAGGATCAGCATGTTCCGCACGCACGTGGCGCGGGAGAACATGACGTAGAGGTGCAGCCACCACTGCTCGTCCGACATGCCCGTGCGGCCAGCGTCCTCGTCTCTCGCGCAGTCGATGGTGACGCCCTTGCGCAGCGTCTGGCCCTGCGACAGCGTGGAGGTCAGGTAGGACGCGTGCGTCAGGGTGAACCCCGAGCGGCGCACGCTGCGCGCCCCCGAGCTCTGCCATGTGAACTCCCTCTCGCTGGGCCTGAACATCAGCAAGCTCCGCGCCCGCGCCTCGGCCTGGCCGTCGTCGTCGGCGCCTTCGGCGCCCTGTCGCAGCACCTCGGCGACCTCCTGGTAGATCGGAGACTCCTTGAAGCCGTGCACCTGCAGCCAGATTCCTGACCCGCTCGGATTACCAACATGATCTGCGGGCCCCATAGGGAGGGGGCTCCCGCCTGAGACTTCCTCGCAGTTCACTCACAGACGAGGCTCCCGCCTGAGACTTCCTCCATATTCAAGCTTGAGGAGCCCAAAAATGACGACAGTTACAGGGTTCCGATGACCCGCTCGGATTACCAACATGATCTGCGGGCCCCATAGGGAGGGGGCTCCCGCCTGAGACTTCCTCACAATTCACTCAGAGACGAGGCTCCCGCCTGAGACTTCCTCCAAATTCAGGCTTGACGAGCCCAAAAGTGACGACAGTTACAGGGTTCCGATGACCCGCTCGGATTACCAACATGATCTGCGGGCCCCATAGGGAGGGGGCTCCCGCCTGAGACTTCCTCAGAATTCACTCACAGACGAGGCTCCCGCCTGAGACTTCCTCCAAATTCAGGCTTGAGGAGCCCAAAAGTGACGACAGTTACAGGGTTCCGATGACCCGCTCGGATTACCAACATGATCTGCGGGCCCCATAGGGAGGGGGCTCCCGCCTGAGCCTTCCTCAGAATTCACTCACAGACGAGGCTCCCGCCTGAGACTTCCTCCAAATTCAGGCTTGAGGAGCCCAAAAGTGACGACAGTTACAGGGTTCCGATGACCCGCTCGGATTACCAACATGATCTGCGGGCCCCATAGGGAGGGAGCTCCCGCCTGAGACTTCCTCCCAATTCACTCACAGACGAGGCTCCCGCCTGAGACTTCCTCCATTTTCAGGCCTGGGGAGCCCAAAAGTGACGACAGTTACAGGTTCCGATGACCCGCTCGGATTACCAACATGATCTGCGGGCCCCATAGGGAGGGGGCTCCCGCCTGAGACTTCCTCACAATTTACTCAACGATGATGAGGATGAGGATGATGAGTGGTGGTGAAGATGAGTGGTGAAGAGGATGATGATTGATTGTGAGTGGTGGTGGCGATGATGATGTTTGAATGAGGATGATGCCGATGCCGATGATGATGATGATGATGTTCGTGAGCGTGTGAGAGAGTGCGAGTGATGATGATGATGAGTATGTGAGTGACTAAGCATGTGAGAGAGCATCATCGATGATGCTGATGAGGTTGATGATGAGAGAGTGTGAGTGAGTGTGAGTGGGTGTGTGTGTGTGTTCCTGTTCCTGCGCGGGGTGTCCAGAGAAAACAAGAACCCCACTTTGGATGTGGGGAATAATAATAATAATGATACTAATAATAAGACTAAGAATAATAATAAGAATAAAAATAAGAATAATAATAATTATAATATGGTTATAGATATTTATAAATAAAAATGTGAAGGTATCCGCCACCGTGACTCTGGGCGCGGAGTGGGCCTGTCATCAGGATCTTTGGCGAATCCCCTGACCCTGAGTCCTCAGTCCTGAGGAGTTTCTCGGGGGCCTCTGAACCCAAGTCCACAAGTCTCCCTTGGAATCGGCGCGGTTCCCCTGGGCCTTGGCGCCTCTCTTCGCGGGGCCGTTTCTAGCCCAGGAGCGCCCCGAGACGGGCCAGGGAAAGCCCCAAGAGGCCCTCAAGACGGCCCAGGACAGCCCATCAGTCGCCGAACGATCGCTCCAAGATCCCTCAGAGGGGCCCACGAAGGCCCAAGAGGCCCCCAAGACGACCCAAGAGGCCTCCAAGAGGCTTTCCAAAAGGGCCCCAAGAGGCCAGAATCATCGATTTCACGCAGGGCATGGAAGGATTCTAGCGTTCGCACCTTGCCGGCTTTCCCACGCTCCAAGACGGCCTCAGAGGCCCCCTGGACCGCACCAAGACGGCCAAAGTGGGCCTCAAGATTGCCCAAGAGGCGCCCAAGCCGGGCCGAGGACGCGCCAAGACGGGCCCAAGACGGGGACTACGAACTGAAAATTCCAGACTTGTGCCCAAAGAAAGCCCCAGGAGACCCCGTGAGGCTCCGAAGAGGCTCCAAGAGGTGCCCAAGAGGCCCCAGAGAAGCCCCAACAAGCCCACAAGAGGCCCGAAAGACGCCCCGAAGTGGGCCCAAACGGCGCCCAAAACGGCCCCCAACAGGCCCCGAAGAGGCCCAAGAGAAACCCGAAGAGGCTCCAAGAGATGCCCACGAGGCCCCCGAGAGGCACAAACAAGCCACCACGAGGCGGCCTCGAAGACGCCCCGAAGAGGCCCCGACAGGCGCCCAAGACGGCCCCCAGCAGGCCTCAAGCCCCGAATGCAGCCGCGCGAAAGCGAGGCATATGGACACTCGCTCCAGTGCGACTTCCATAAACAAACACCCGCAACGAATCCAGCGGCTGGCGCCAACAACGGCGACTCGGGCCTGGCTCGGGAGCGCGCAGGCAACTGGGGAGCCGAAGGCAAGATGAGCCAACAGAAGTGGAGTCCACACGGCTACGGAATGGAAGAAAACGCTGAAAGAGAACATACGACACGCTCCCCAAACAAACAAAACTCCGAAGAATCCCCGATTCGCCCCAAGCAAGCCCGATGAACGACTCCAAGATGACCCGAAAGAATTCCAACAAAGTCCCAGATGCCGGGCACGCTTGTGGCAGGAAGTGATGTTTCACCTAGATTGGAAATTATGAGCCTTGAGGCCAACTTCTGAGTATTTCATTGTAGGCATTTAGACCTACTGGCAAAACAACGATGATAGCGTGATGGATTGGGACCAGGAGGACCCCGAGGGGCTTCTGACGAGATCCTATCGAGCATCCAAGACCCTCTGAACCACAACCCAGGAGCCCACAAAGACGGCCAAAGAGGTCCCCGAGAAGCCCCCAAAGGCCCCCAAGAGGCCCAACCAGGCCCCCAAGATGCCTCCAAGAGGCTCCCAGGAAGCTCCCAGGGGGCCCCAAGAGTGTCCCCAGAGGCTCCCAAGATGCCCCCCCTCCTCATCCTCCTGATCTTCCCCGCCATCCTCCCCCAAGTGTTCCCCGAAGGGTTTCCACAACGGTTGGGGGAACACATGGTCCGATAGCTGGGCAGAACTCTTGCCACAACGCTCGGCCACATGGGCGATTCTAGAAGGCAGGGGGCGGCGGTGATTCGCCGTAGGCGTCTTCGATTGCTCGAGAACGTGAGCGATAACTATGTAGTCAAATCTACTCAACAAAAGTGAGGGCGTGTCATATACTCTACACTAATCCCGTGTGTTCGAATGTGTTCTGTTTTACGTTACTGGCCAGCAAGATGAACACAGAAGGGCAGGGTGACGCCCCGCAGTTCTGAAGTCTAGCAGACTCGATTCATCGAACCTACTTTGCTCGACCCTGATCTTCAGAGCCGTGAGATATGCCCCCTCTATTCTGCACCAGTGTGCTGTGCTCTACGTACTCACTATTCCATGCGGTGCTCCAGTCTACTCTACTCGGCTCCTCTGTTATACTCAGTCCTGATCTGTTCTGCTCGATCTACTCTGGCCACCTATACGGCGCGGCAGGATTAGTCGGTGGAGCTTTAGGGCCAGGAAACTCTAGCCTGTTCTACTCTTGGCGGCGATCTGACTCACCTGCTGCGCCATACTAGTAGTTTACTGCACCCTGCGTACGATAGAATGACGACTCCTTCGTATTGTGATATGTTATGCTCTAGCCTGCTATGCGCTACTGGTTCCGCAGGGCTCAGGTATCATCGAGTTGGCTCTACTCTATGTTGTTCGCCCTGCCCTACAACTGACCCTCTGAAAAATACAACTCCTTCTACGGAGCCATCTAAACCAATCCCTGACGAAAGACCCAACCGCGTGCAGATGCAAAGCTCGCGAGCCAAGTGAGACGAAAGAGGGGGGCACCAAACGCGTGAGGCGTGTGCCGCAGTGGGCGCGGTGCCGCCGCACAGACGCTGCCACTGGAGCATTCGGCGGGGCTCCTCCTGGGGCCACGAGCTGCGTGGGGGGGGCGAGCCGACGTCAGCGTTGCGCTGCCATGCGGGCGCCGGCACTGCGGCCCTCCGACGGGCCACGAAGGGTGCGAGGGGCGGTGCCGCCCGGGGCGCGGTGCCGCCCTGCGGGTGCTGCCACTGGCAGCGTCGGCAGGGCTCCCCGCGGTGCCACGAGACGCGCGGGGCGCGTGCCGAAATTTGGTGGAACACCGCAGGCGAAGAGAGCTCCTGTAGGGCGTCGGCGGAGCTCCCCGTGAGGCCACAGAACGTTGGACGGGCGCGGGGAACCGCCTGCGAAACCCCCCCCCCTTGGGGGCTTCGGTGGGGCACCCCGCGGGGCCACGAGACGTGTGAGGGGTGTGGCCGACCACGCGCGACCCCCCCTCCTGGGGGCTTCGGTTGGCCATCCAGTGGGGCCACGAAACGTGTGAGGGGCGTGGAGAACCGCACGCGGCACCCCATCCGGGTGCTTCGGTGGGAATCCGCATGGGGCCACAGAGCGTGTGATGAGTGCGAGGACCACGCGCACAACCCCCTCGTGGGGGCTTCGGTGGAGCCCCCTTTGTGGCCACGAAACGCGTGAGGGGTGCGGAGAACCACTTGCACAGCCCTCCTGGGGGCTGCGGTTGAGCCCCAATTGGGTCACGAACCGTGTGAGGGGTGCGGGGAACCGCATGCAACAAAAAAGAAACCTGAGGACTTCGGTGGATCTCCCTCTGGGGCCACGAAACGTTTGAGAGGTGTGTGGGGGGGGGCACATGCAACACCCGTCCCTGGGGTGGCATACGGTGGAGCTCCCCATGGGGCCACGAAGCGCGTGGGGGGTGTGCCGAGGTGGGCACGCGGAGGGCAGAGGCACGGGAGGAGGGAGGGAGGGAGGGAGGAGGGGAGGAGGGAGGAGGGAGGGAAGGGAGGGAGGGAGGGGGAGAGGGAGGGAGGGAGGGGAGGAGAGGAGGGAGGGAGGGGGAGGGAGGGAGGGGAGTGGAGGGAGGAGGGAGGGAGGAGGGAGGGAGGAGAGGAGAGAGACGCAGGGGCGGTGGCTCTCCGAAGCGAGGGCCCAGCCTCACAAGATGCTCGGGAAGTTGTGGGAGGAGGGAGGAAAGAGGAGGGGAGGGGAGGGGAGGGGAGGGGAGGAGGAGGGGAGGAGGAAAGGGAAGGGAGGGAGGAAGGAGGAGGAGGAAAGGGGAGAGGAGGAGGGAGGGAGGGGAGGGGGAAGGAAAGTTGTGGAAGGAGGGAGGGGAGGATGAGGAAAGAGGAGATGAGACGCGGGGCGACGTCCCTCCAAAACGAGGGCCGAACACCACAGGACGGTTGGGAAACAAACCCGCCGAGCGAGAGGATTCTTCTACCGTGCCCTACTATGCTCCACTGGCGCTGCCAGTCCAATGGACGGAGCCAAAGGTGTACTTGCGAAACCTTAAGATTGGCCCCCTGTGGTCTGCAAGCACCACGGGTCGAGCCGGGTGAGCCACAGGAGATAAGCCCAAGGGGCCCACGGCGTAGCCAGACGAGCCACTGGACCTGCCGAAACGGTGCCTCTGGACTCGCTCTGGTGGCAGCCCGGCTGGGGGAGACGCGCGGCAACCCGAGAACGGTCTCAGTCGGCGCGGCGTGCTCGGGTTAGGCCGGTGTGGCGCTGGCTGCGGTGCTGATAATGGCGGTGATGACGAGGGTGGCCGTCAGTTGTGGGCGTGGCTTCTCGGGCATCGCGCAAGATCCCAAGGACGACGCGGCTTGCTTCTGTGTCCTGCTCCTACGCTAGACCGCATCCTGCTCCTGGTCTGCTCTTGCGTTGAGATACTCTGTTCTGATCTAGTGTACTCTACCCTAGTTTCACTGGCCTAGTCAAGGAGTACTTTGGTCTAGCCAGAAGGGCCGTCGGCCTTGTTAGCCAAAATCGCGCCGCGGAATACTCAAAGGGACCTGTCCGGTACCTACTTGCTACACCATGCGGTCAGAACTCCTGAGCAAGCTGCTGTCTATGATTATGTCCCCTTAATTACAGCTCCTCCTCCTCCTCCTCCTCCTCCTCCTCCTCCTCCTCCTCCTCCTCCTCCTCCTCCATCCTCTTCCTCCTCCTCCTCCTCCTCCTCCTCCTCCTCCTCCTCCTCCTCCTCCTCCTCCCTATTTCTGCCGCGGCACTCCCCTGATCCTGGAAAAACATTCCGATGATGGCCACCATGGACAGGCGGCCGTTTGCAATCTCCGCGTTCAGCCTGCGCTTACGGATCTCGGGGTCTGGGCTGGTGAGCAGAGGAGGCTTCCAACCAAGGTTACCTGGCTCCAGCTCGCCTTTCAACCCACCAGCGCTACCTTCGAAAAAGATACCACCTTTCACACCCGTGCCCGTGAATTCACAATAGCCACAGTACGCAAGGATCTGAAGATATCCACCGACAGGAATCTTGGAGAGTGCTGCAAGGCCATTAGGGACATCCTCGAAGAGGATCTTCTCATCCAAGGACAGGTATCCTGGGAATTTGCCGGTAATCTCTGGCGTGATGTAGCCCATCGTGGCCAACATACAAATGCGGCCATGCCTGATCTCGACGCAACGGCGGCGCTTGAAAGCATCCGCATCGCCATCCTTCGTGAAGCCCGCGGGGTCCCAGAATCCCGTCGGCGGTTGCACTCCGAGCTCGTTCTCGAACGCGCGCAGCGGGGAGCTAGTGTACAGAGACCAGTCACCCCACGCCGAGCCCGTGAGACCATCCTGGAAAAACATGCCGATGATCGCCATCATCGCCAGACGACCGTTGGCGATCTCAGCTGCAAGCTTCTTCTGCTTCTCCGCAGGGTCGCTGGACGTCAGCAGCTTGAAGCCGAACTCCCCACGCGAAGCGGGGGACCCGGGAATCGTCTGGTCCTGGCTGATCTCCACGTACGCGCAGTACAAGAAGATCTGGCCCCAGCCCCCGAGCGGCACCTTGGAAAGCGCGCCGAGACCGTTCGGCACGTCCTGGGAGACCCCTCACGTTGCGACCACCCGACCAGTCCTCCCCCCACTCCCTCCCCCTCCGCCGCTGTGGCGGACGAAAGAAGAGGGGTGAGGGGCGGGCTTGACTGGCGGGGGCAACGAGGGGTCTGTTCGGTCCGCGTACTTCAGGCCCAGCGACGGGGACAGGAAGCCAGGGAAAGGCCCAATCAGCTCCGGGGTGATGTAGCCCATGGCCGCCAGCATGGCGATCCGGCCATGCTTGATCTCAGTGGCGCGCCTCCGAGCAAAATCCTCCGCGCTTCCGTCGGCGGTGAAGCCAGCAGGGTCCCAGAAGCCCGCCGGAGGTTGCACTCCGAGCTCGTTCTCGAACGCGCGCAGCGGGGAGCCCGTGTAGAGCGCCCAGTCGCCCCAGGCAGAGCCCGTCAGGCCGTCCTGGAAAAACATGCCGATGATCGCCATCATCGCCAGACGACCGTTGGCGATCTCAGCTGCAAGCTTCTTCTGCTTCTCCGCAGGGTCGCTGGATGTCAGCACCTTGAAGCCGAAGTCGCCCGCCGCGGCCGCAGTGCCAGCGGACTGGTCCTGGGACAGCTCGCAGAACGCACCATAGGCCACGATCTGCGCCCAGCCCGCCGCGGGAACTTTAGAGATGGCGCCGAGACCGTTCGGGACGTCCGCGAACTTGATCCCCGCGGACGGCGACAGGTAGCCGGGCAGCTTGCCAGTGATCTCTGGAGTGATGTAGCCCATAGTGGCCAGCATGCTCACACGGCCGTGCTTCAGCTCAGTCTGGCGCCGGCGGGCGAAATTCTCCGTGCTGCCATCCGCCGTGAACCCGGCGGGGTCCCAGAAGCCCACCGGGTCCTGAACTCCCAGCTCCGACTCGAACGCGCGCAGCGGGGAGCCCGTGTAGAGCGCCCAGTCGCCCCAGGCAGAGCCCGTCAGGCCGTCCTGGAAAAACATGCCGATGATGGCCATCATCGCCAGACGACCGTTGGCGATCTCAGCTGCAAGCTTCTTCTGCTTCTCCGCAGGGTCGCTGGATGTCAGCACCTTGAAGCCGAAGTCGCCCGCCGCGGCCGCAGTGCCAGCGGACTGGTCCTGGGACAGCTCGCAGAACGCACCATAGGCCACGATCTGCGCCCAGCCCGCCGCGGGAACTTTAGAGATGGCGCCGAGGCCGTTCGGGACGTCCGCGAACTTGATCCCCGCGGACGGCGACAGGTAGCCGGGCAGCTTGCCAGTGATCTCCGGAGTGATGTAGCCCATAGTGGCCAGCATGCTCACACGGCCGTGCTTCAGCTCAGTCTGGCGCCGGCGGGCGAAATTCTCCGTGCTGCCATCCGCCGTGAACCCGGCGGGGTCCCAGAAGCCCACCGGGTCCTGAACTCCCAGCTCCGACTCGAACGCGCGCAGCGGGGAGCCCGTGTAGAGCGCCCAGTCGCCCCAGGCAGAGCCCGTCAGGCCGTCCTGGAAAAACATGCCGATGATGGCCATCATCGCCAGACGACCGTTGGCGATCTCAGCTGCAAGCTTCTTCTGCTTCTCCGCAGGGTCGCTGGATGTCAGCACCTTGAAGCCGAAGTCGCCCGCCGCGGCCGCAGTGCCAGCGGACTGGTCCTGGGACAGCTCGCAGAACGCGCCGTAGGCCACGATCTGCGCCCAGCCCGCCGCGGGAACCTTAGAGATGGCGACGAGGCCGTTCGGGA